CTCATTCAATAAAATGATTTTTGTTAGTCTTTTTTAGAAAACTGTGTATGAAATTTACATAGTGGAAATCCGAAATTCTTATAGAAAATTTTTTACCTTATTAAATAACCAATAGAAAAATATGCTAAAACAATAAATTTCTTCAAATTGTTTTCGAACTTCTTGTCTGATTGTTCAATACTATTTGTATTATGGATCTAAGATCGCCGTTTAATATCGGACTTATTATACTGAGACAAGGAGACACGTAGATTAAAAAGAAAACAAACTCGTTTTCTCTTTCCCACATATATTATTGGGCTGCAATTTGAAAAAAATTGTAGGACCATAAATTCGCACTATCATCCATCTATCTGTCTTTCCTTAGTGCCAATAACGGTGTTAGATAGATGAAAGACGAGACCAGATATGAAAACCTTAGGAAATTAACTATACCTGTATATGAACTTCTGATACAAACTGGAAATTACGTTATTTGTTGATTCAGCGAATTCAATACCCTGAGCGAATTTTCCCTGAAAGCAGATCACGCTTGATTCTATTGTGAAAGGAAAACTATGATGTATAGGGGCAAGCCTTTACTAATTTGAGGTGGAGAGCATATATTTTAAGTTAAATAAATAAATTAAAAATATGATTAAAAATTGCAGCCCGGTATTGTGACATCGTCACAATAAATAATTACTTGTTTTTATTTATTTCTTTTACAATTATGCAGAAGTGCATATTGTAATAGAAATGAATAAGGATAGAAATAATAGAAATAATTACTATGTTGTTAAGAGTACGATAAACTTTTCGAGAAAAATAGAACAAATTATATTTAAAATAAATAATAATAAAAGTAAAGTCTAAATAAGATAATTTGATGAGAGCCAACTACGTTTCCTGGATCCGAAATGAATAATTGTAATAGAAATAAATAGGAATAAAGTTATCATCTTAGTAAAATCTGTTCTGTTATAATCGATATAGATAAGGTTCCGATTAAATGAGTACACCTTAAAAGAATTTTTAGATTCTTAAGAAATGTGAACCGATTTAGAGACTGATTCGATTCGCAACATTTTTAGCAGTTTTTATGAATGTAATAATTTTAAAAGTTTTTATGTAATAATGAAAATTAAAATATAAAAATATAGTCATGTATATATTTCAAGTCTATTTATTTATTTATTTTTGTTTTACCTTATAGGGCCTATATAAATTTTTTCGGACAAAAATTTTATTATTATAAAGCAAAATGTATGTAACTTAGTCCTATTTGAATAATACAGATATTAAAACGGAATAATCTTAATAATTAAAAGCTAAAATCAATTTACACTGTTTTATTTAATTTCTTTTAATTCCGTCGGCATTAAGATGACATTTTTCCAATACTCGTCATAGATTCGACCAGGCTCTTGGCCTTTAGCAGAACTCTGCAACTAGTGTTCCACCGCTAATGCCTTCAACAGGAGATAAAGTTTATAGTGAGCACGTGATTATGATAAATGCATGTTGTTTCAAAAAGAACAATGAGTTACCTATTACACATTTATTGCCACTAACGTTTGCGACAGAAAGAATACTAACAAGCTTCAAATTTTTACACTTTTGCAGTCATATTTCACAGAATATGTGCACGGTAAATTTGGCGAGTCGCGTGTCACAGTCGTCATCTGAATTTTTGTGAAGAGACAAATAGATAATGTCTCTTATCTGTTGCTAGTGTTTACAATCAAAAGACCTCGATCATGCTCTATTCATGCTAGGACTGCGTGATACTTCGTCCAAGGTGGTTTCCGAGTTGCTAAAAAAGTAAATTGAAATAAGAAAATCGATTATAAACTAATTTTAAATATTTTTATAAATTTAAAGTATCTTCAAGTGTTACTTCTGGATTAGTCTCTGAAACAGGAGAATACACAAGACTTTTAGAAATTATTATTTTTATGTAATGTCTTTATTTCTTTACCCAGGAGTTTATTTTTATAAATTTAATGTTCTCTTCAAATATTTTCATATTATCACAAGTAAAAACAGTGATGTGATGTGGAATTCTGTAAATTACCTAGGTGTGACGTGCATAAGAAACACTTAAGAAGCACTGACCTACAGGATAGTGAGCGGTGAGAAACGGGCCTAAAATACTGAGATCCAGTATATCCAAGACAAAATTGCTAAGGTTTTCACCTTAAATCTGATTCCAGATTCCCCTGATCTACCGCTTGTATTTAACGTCCTTCACGGAGTCTAATTCGTAGTTTATATCTCGTAAAACTCGCTAAAGACACATTGATTACATTGATATTTTATTGGGTTATTCTGAGTAACCATACTTTAGTGATTTAAAGGAATCTCCTTAAAGTGAGAACTAATTTTAGTTTTGACTCTTCAGAGAGTCAAAACTAAAATTAGTTTAGTTTTGACTCTTCAGATAGTCAAAACTAAAACTCCTCTCGTGTATTTGAAGTTGTTTCGTTTTAACAGTTTTAATATTTATGAAACTTTTTGTTAAAATTGCTTCTTATTAATAATAATTTAATGATAACGGTTTGAAATTAAATTTAATTGCGGTGACTCGACCAGTAAGTGATCAGCTACCATTGAATGACTACTACCATGGTTATTCAATGGAATTCTAAGTTAATGCATAAAATTATGGCCATATCATGCAAATAAATGAACAAGAGTAATTTTTTTAGACATTTCGTATTAGTAAATCACTGTTTGTTTATTATTTCCACCAGTGATTGATTGGGTGGTAGTCAATTGGTTACTGGGTTTTTCTGCCTTCATGAAATCATTCTTAATTTTCAGACACACAGTTGCTTATTTTGAGATTGCGTCATCTTTCCATAAAACAATTTACTTTAATCATACATGCAAGTTACATCAATTAATTAGAGAAAAATAACAGCCATACCAAATAATCCTGAACTACATCTTCACTATATTTTAAATCAACACGATTTAGAATATTAATCTTTCCTGACTTTGAATTTCCTCTCTGGGTGTGAATTCAATGAAAAATCTGGTAATGTCTTGTGAGTAATTTAGGTTAAGATATCATCCTCTCACTTACATTAATCGAATCGATCAGTGTAAGTGAGAAATTGCGAGTTATCTTACAGACTGCCACAAGAACATATGGCAGACTAACAAATGAAATTTGTCTTACAATTTTGCCAACACGAACATATATAAATTTTTATTGAAAATTTTTAATACTTATGAATAGTATAATTGATGGATACTACATTGTAATTCTTATGTACAGTATATTTACATATAGCATTTAGCGTGGCGCTGAGTTGTCAATCTCAATAAAAATTACTTCCGTTGTCTACTACATTGAGAATAACAGATGTTATTATTATTTATTGTCAATTCGGAAAAATTATAAAACTCTCATCAAATCAGTCTATTTTTACAAATAATTCTAAAAACACCGCCAAATTACATTGTACTATGAAAAATTTAATTTAACAAAATACGTTTTGTGCTATTCTCTTTATTATTTCATAGAAATTCTGTGCGAAATATTTTTATACTCTATTCCTCTTTACTCTTATACTGGTATTATTTAATAAGGCTCATTCTAGTTAAAATTAAATTTAAAACAAGAATAAAACTTTCTTAAAGAAACAACATGAATATTCAGGAGTGAATTCAAAATTGTGGAAAAAATTCTTTCACGTTTTTATATTTTTATAGAACAAATTTTAGCTTATAATCTAGCTTAGCCTGCTCTCGTGTATTTGAAAACATGTATGTACACAATAAGAACGTATTTATATATTTTTTCCTCAATTTATTAATACACTAATTTATTAATTTCATATTATTTACTTTTTCAATTTTTTTTCTTTCCGTTATTTCGTTTTCATAGTTGAGTGGCTGCAGCAACAAAAACCGGAAATTTTTCAAGATTGCAGAATATGCACTTTACATATTGTGACAAATCAATTGGTTGGATGAATTTGTTCAAAGCCAAGTAGATAAAACCATTGAACACTGGTAGTTGATTACGAGTTTCGACTGACCAACGTTGGTTGGACGCGTGGAATTTTTCGGGCTTTCTTCGCGTGGGTAACATTCTAAATATGGGCTACTTGCCCATATGTAAGTGTTAGACAAGCTAAGAAAGGCGGGAATACATCCCTCTTGGCAAATGCCTATGCTTTTGCGTTGTCTTATTCCTTTAATACAATTTTGTAGATAAATAGCAGATAAATGATAAATTATATACAGTAGATCCCCCTATAAAACCGTTTCCTATAGTTATGATTCCTATAAAAATTGTGGCAGTATCCGTAAACAACGGTAAAAATAACTCCTATAATACGTAAAACGTCATCGGGCAGCCGAACTACTTTCCCACCGTCGGTAGCGCCACGCTACGGACGTTTAGGCGGATAAATTGAGTTTAGTATCGTCTGTTCATATAATTATATATAAATTAGGTACTGTACATATAATTATATATTAATTATATATAAATTAGGTANTGATATTTTGTTTCTATATCGACAGTATTTGCTTTTAAATGCCATTGTTAAAGAAACAATAATGCTAAATGGGCGTTCTTGATATCGATGTTTACGTAAACGTCCATTAATACGATATAACCCCGAATAAAATTCAGTATTGAAAAACTAAGCTTATTTTATATCAAAAACACTTGCTGATGAATGAATAGAGGACAGAGATTTCATAGCGTGTATAATCTGCTTAGTAAAAGCCCAGAATGTATAGTTCTCGGTTATATCGCGCCCCCCGGATATATCGCGTTTTTCTTTGTCTCCCGACAAGCGCTATATAACGAGGTGCTACTGTAATATGATTTTTATATTTCCAAATAATAATCTCAAATTACTGTATTCATATTTTTATCAAGATCTAGCTTCTGATATAAGCTTATTTAAATTTGAAATACAAGTTTAATTAATACAAGTTTTCTCTTATGGAATTTTAGTAATTAATGATTATATTACATTTGACATATATTTCAGGGTTCATTTGTAATCCGAATGGTCCATCATATCTTAGGAAACGAAACATTTTGGAAGGGTATAAATGTAAGTAATTTTTTTTATATAATTCAGGACAAAATACTATAACAATCCTATCAGTTATGCTAAATACTTATGCCATAGAACCTTGACAAATAGTTCTATTCGGGATCTTGTTGGATGTTTCCCTATTATTACTGGTTGCGGAAAGGCCACCATAATACTTCAAGCTTTTTAGTATCAAAATTATATGTCCACAACTGATAGGAATTAAAATATTCTGTTTATCATGTGCTATTTAAAAAATTAAAAATCATTAGAATATTTATCTCTTAGCTATCTGCTTTTGTGAAAAAAGAATATTCTATCTTATAGTACTAATAATAGTTAATAAAGTTATTTAGTAGACGTAATTAAAGAATGAATGTCGAAATTATCTAATTAACTTGAATATATTCAGAATTACCTGACTGCCAATTCTTATAGTAACGTGGAAGAATATACGTTATGGAAATATTTAACAGAAGTAAGTTATATTAATTTTAGTGTACATTGCTATTTTATACTAAATTGTAACTAATGTGTAGAATTCGTTTATCAGGCACAAAATATCAACTCTAAAATCAATTTATCGGAGGTGATGACTCCTTGGGTGCATCATAAGAGTTTCCCCGTTATTTCCGTCACTAGAGATTACGAGAAGCACAATGCACTTATTATTCAGTCTTCTGCATCTTCCGAGAATCATGAGTAGTATAATTTTAACTTATATAATTAAAATATTAAAAGAATTTTATTAAGTTTTCTTATGAAACTGTAATTATTTATACATGTTTATTTTATATAAGGTGTTAACTTTAACATTTATTCAAGTGTAAAAGAGATCTTTGCGGCATTGCAGAAGTATTTGCATAAATTTCATTAGTTTCACTGTGATATTTACAATAAAATTAATTAATTCATTTAAACAGGGTATTAATTCTTGACACTTCTATTATTTTTAATTTTCTTTATACTCACGATTTTCGTAGGCATTTAATATTCTAATCAAAGGATAGTGTGTTACAATATTTTCTGTTAAATTTGACACTACAATTTTGGTAAACTTTAGTAAAATTATTTAGTAAAACAACAGTATTACTAGAACGCTTTATTTAGATGATTTTATACGAAATACATACCATGAATTAAAACAGTTTATTTTTAATATTTTGTTGGATACACTTTTCCTTTTATCACTATTTCGATTCTTTGAGGCATTAATCTACCAGACGCCTGAGATATGATATGATTATCTTGAGCCAAGTTTGGATGTTGTCTTCTGTCAACTCCGTTTTGTTACTGGGATTGCCAACACTTTCAGCCTGGACCACACATTTTATATTGGAATTAGGTCAGGATTATTTTCTGGCCAAGGCAGAACGGTAATATTTTGGACCCTGAACCACTTTAGGCAACTTCTGGCTTTATGACATGGTGCTACATCCTGCTGAAAGATGCATCGCTGACGTTCTCCTTCAAGTAAATCGCCAATGGCAGTTTTGCTTTCAACACTTCTTTCTGGTATTTTTTGCGTTCATGTTGTCGTCAATGACAGCAAGCCGTTCAATACTGTCTATTATGCAAGCCCACACCATTAAACTCTTAGAATGCTTCATGGTGGCCATAGTGTACTGGGTCGAAAAGTAGGCAACGAACAAACTTCGCTCCATCACTTTCAGAAATAAAAAGTTTTGTTTTGAAGCTTCAAATAATCTTGACCCAGACTTCTTGTGTCTACTTATTGTGTGCCAGAGCCCTATAGATATGTTTCTGTCTCTGTTTTTTATTGAGGTTTGGCTTCTTTCTTGGTGTCATCACTCATAGATCATTATCACGCAATATCACGCACCTTTTTTAACGGCTCTATCAGCAATTTGCATGCTAGATGCCTTCAGAATGTTGTTGAAAGCTTTTGATGATTTGTGACGGTCTTGCAAGGACACACAACTGATTCTGCGCACATCTTGTTCAGTTATTTTTGGTTTTCTGCCTGTTCTTGGAGTTGTTTTTATCAATCCAGTCTCAGCAAAGCATTTGCAGCTCTTCGTAAACCTGATTTTGTAGCTCCATCATCCAACCTAACTGCTATTTCATTTTATGTGTAATGTTCTTTGCTGCAGAACAATCAGCACGTTTTATTTTGTTAGGAGCCATAATTTTAGTTTTATCATATAATTTTACATAACCTCAAAATTCAGAGATCTCTCTTGTCAAGGCAATATCTGTTAAATATGACAGAATTGTTAGATATGATTGCTCAAACTCTTTTGATTGACTACTGGAACATACTCGCGCGTTGTCCTATGATTGGTTAAAACAAACACATGGCATTTAATATTGCTATTTCTACTGATCAACAAGTTAATTCAGAAATTCTTGTGTTAAGAAATTATTACTCCTTCTGACTTGTTAAACTTGTTATAAATTGAATTAAGAAGCATAAATACAAGATAAAAATGACAGTTTAAATATCAAAAAAGCATTTTTTGACGATACAAATAAAAATGTCTTGAATTAGTGCCAATTACTAAAAGTGTTCAGAATTAATGGCAGCACTAGTTCCAAAGCAAAACGAAAATTTTCGCATCCCTCCCGGATGCAAAGTTAACGGAAGGGAATAATTTTTTAAAACATTTAGCATAATACACAAAAGATCTTTGACTGTAAAGAATAAAACCACATTGCATAAATTAATACAAAAATAGTTAGCTTCATTTTTCTATAGTACATGTTCAAAACGACCCCTTTTTTGCGTCGTATTTGCTTTTGTAGCTCGCTAACATCGAGTGGCGATACTAGGCACGCGTCGTAAACTACTGCTTTTAGGTTACCCCAAAGGAAAAATTCCACCAGATTAATTGAGAAAAACGTAGTGGCTATGGTACAGGTCCTCGTTGTTTTATCCATCGATTGTCGAACCTCTCTAATGCATGTCTGTCCGGGAATCAGTCGATATATCATTCTTCTGTTACCAAACCTATTGTAGTTGCTCGACTGAATGTCATCGAGCAATTCGTCTACCGTCGTGTATTGAATGTATCAAACATTAATCCAGATAGGAACCTGCTCATTTTAGGTGCTATATCAGACATTTAGTATAAAACGTATCTAGTATTTCACGTTAATTATACCAATTCTAATATTTAATGCGATTGGATTCCTAGATTGTTATCACGAATTGGAATGGAACAATAGCGCTGATCCAGAAGTACTGTACAGTACGCTTTCACAACCAGTTAGGCAGAAAAGGCATTTACATAGTAGATAGTTTTCAGTAGGTTACTTTCAATTTAGACGGATAGCATTTTAAATTTATTACTAAATTAAGAATAACTTTCTTTTAAAATATGGCATACACTACTAATTAAGCTATATCGCCGTATTTATTTTTTACTCAAATCACATATTAAGTAGTCGAATAATTTAATATTTTGTAATTTTTTTCTTATCTATTATCATTTTAGGAATTTATGGTCAATTCCTATATATTACGCAACCGGAAATATTTCAAACTGGAATCGTGAAATAAAGTTATGGATGAATTCAAAAAATGGTAAGAATATATTTAATAAAATTAGCTAAATAACTTCAAACTAATAATTAAATTTTCGGATTTTTATTTTAACGAACTTCTTAAATTCTGCATAATGCCAAAATCTCCTTTTTAGAGATAAATCCACTTATTAAGATAAAGTTGTCTATATTGGACCTGACGATTTTATATATAGCAGATAAAGAAAATATAGGAATGCCTATATTTTCTTTATAAATGCTGGCAAGAATTTGGCAGCAAGAATTAATGGGCAAGAAGCCATGGGCAGGAACCATGTCATTAATGAGATTTGCCAAATGAATTAAATAAATTTATGAATGGTTATCTGTTTCAGTTACAATAAGGAACATCTTGAAAAATGACGAATGGCTTTACGTAGACGGAACTGGTCTGAGTTACTCTTTAATTAATTACGACCGCAAAAACTGGAAATTGTTAGCTAAACAATTACAGGAAAACCATCAGGTAGAAAATAAATCCTATTTTAAAAGAACAGCAAATAATACTATCGTGATGAAATACAATACGCTGATATTTTTGCCAGGCTAAATGATAGGTCAGATTCCAAATGTTTATTATAACGAGAGTTATTGATTTAACCAAATTTTACTTCAACTTTCAGGTGTTTTCATATACTCAACGCTTCAAACTTTTATCGGATGCATTAGCTTTATACAGGTAAGAAACATTCGAATATATTTTTAATTTCATTGTCGACAGTGCATTAAATTCATAAAAATATAATTAAATAACTAAAATATTTCTTAAATAAATACAAATTTCGATAGTTTACATGATTTAGAATCAGTTTTAATGGGCCAATACGGAACTCTCATCTAAAAAAATGCTTATACCAATAAGAAAAGTCTAACTTTTTATATGATAATATTGTATATGGGTAACAAGTCGACGCTCGAGTCTGACTCGAGCAAGGTTTATAGCGTTAAAAAACACCGGGCGTTTGGGCCCCCGAAAAAATTTTTTGTTTTTTTTTCAATTTTTGAAATGTTTTTTAGCTCCCTAAATTTTTTGAAAATTTTTTGCCCGCGCGAAAAAATTTTATCGCGATTTTAATGAGTCTTTGATAAGGCTCGATTAAGGCTTAATTGCTTTTTATGTTTTTTTAATGGCGTTTTTTATCAAAATTAATTAATCGTTCTAAAGTTGTAGTGCACCGATTTTCCTTCGGTAAAGTTATTTAAAGCTGCTTTCTGATGTCAAAAACGACCTCCGATAGTTTTTAAATTTTTTTAATTAATAGATTTTATTATATATATGTTTAATTAATTAGGAGGGTCGGAAATCGCAATAAAAATTATAATTTTTAAAAAATATACGTTTAATTTCTAGTCACCCTACTTTAAACCCTTATCCTCCCGAGACGTCTATGAGAATGTCCCGGGAAATACGACACCAGCTGTTCTCAAGGTCATCCAGATGTGTAAACAATGTCTCATCGGTGTTAAATTTCACAGAAAGGCGAAACAAAGGAAACTAAATGATGAAGCTTTTTAACCAAAATTAACGCATTTCTTTCGTTTTTTTCACTTTTAAGTATTTTTTATGCTTAATTAAAAAATTTTTTTAAAAAGTGGACAAGAAGCGGTTAATTATCAAAAATTCTTTGAAGTTTTCGTCGATATAACTTGAATCGAGAGAACAGATATTTTACAACTTTATGTAATGCTACAAGTATAACATTAAATTATAAAATTTCCATTCTGTCCATCCAAGTTATATCGTTGGAAACACTAAAGCATTCTTCTTAATTTAAAAGTATAAAAATAATTTAGTTTGAAATATATGATGATACCTATTTCAATTTTGCAGTTTGAATCAAACAGTTTGTGACACTGTCTTGGATTTATATTTATATTTGCCAAAAGAAGAAATACAATTTTTAACAGGAAGTGATACAATTAATATAATATATGATATCAATAATATTCTTCCAGATAACCTAATGGAAGATTGGAAGGTATGTCTCTATAAAGATAGATATCTAACTTATTAGTTATTATAATTTATACAAATTGGTGTTTTATATTAATGTTTATTAACTACCAATTCGTATAGAATTCTTGCAATTTTCGAGGACTCATGTTCTCGAAAATTGCAACAGAAAGAAAGCATTTAATATAAATTTTAACGAAAATGCTTATTTGCATCTGTATCTGTTAGCGACAAGTATGAATTGTATATGGAAACTCATATCAAACAACGGGAATAAATTAATAAATTATTATCTCCATTGTGGTTATAATAAAACAATGTGTTCGAAATAGCAATTCATTTTTTTAAATATATTAAATAATACATTGTTTAGCTATAAAATTGTCTTCTAGATTAAAGTTATATTTTATTAATTAAAGTCTATTAGATTAAAGTCTATTAAAATTATACTTTAAAGTTTTTCAAAATAAAAAAAAAAGAAATATAAATATCTAAATGCAAATACAGTAGAATCCCGATTAACCGAGGTCCCACATTATCCGGGACAAAGCTTTAAGTGAATAGGATACACTACTTTTTTTATACCGTAATTCATAAAAGAATGTTCAAAACGGTAACGTGTATTACAAAACGATTTGTTTATGTTATTATTTTCCCGGCTCTGTTATATATAACAGAATGAAAGTATAGAAATCGGTTAAAATATGACCTCCAAGACTTTTACATTTTTGGACTCAGGGCACCTTGAAACGTCGAGTAATGCAAAAAATTCGAGGTTTTTTTTTACGTATATGTGGATGTGTATGTAGGGGTACGATTTTGTTCGCGCTCTTTGAAGTTTAATAATTCTGTGCATTTTGTCGAAAATTTATGAAAATTTTCAGGGAGGTTTGTGTATTAGGGGATTGATACTATTATATTTTGGTGGTTAAAGGTCGACAGAGTGGGAAGATATAGGGGTTGTGTGTCATATCTTGAGTAAGATCGGACTTAATGACGATTTTAGTCGTTATTAGCATTTACAATTTTTTATAAAGCCCATCGAAACCCTAAAGATTACATTTTTTGCCATTTTATAATAATTAAAATTTTAAATATTTCCGGGAAAGTTCAGTAACTCATTGCTGGATTTTTTATTATTTAACTGCAAGGTAGGAGAAATTCATATTAAAAAGTATCTACAATAATACATATTTTTATTTTTAAAACTATTTTAATGTATACGTATATTAGCTATATACTAAATGATGTAAATAAATTTTTTATGTTCGTAATTTTGAATCAAAAAATGGCGTTTCATTCGCGTTTTCGGTTATCATTACCTCGGATAATCGGGATTCCACTGTATTTAACTATTTTCTGAAAATTTCCTAATAAAAAAAACTAATTTGATTTATATACATTTTCAGAACTTTTTATTGTATATGTTAATACCTGTCTACGAAAAGCTAAATTTAGAAGATATGGACAAATATACAATAGGATATAAGAGGTAAATTTAATATTTATTCAATTTTAGCTTGTTACTTAAAATATAATAAATTAATATGTTTAATATGCCATTTTTATTTACTATCAGTATATTTAATGCAAATATTCTAATTTCGTCTTGCACATTCAAGTATTTCCGAATGATATTGAATCATAACAACAGACATCGATTCAATATTATTCTTGGATACTACTAAGTAATATAACTACGATTTAAGAAACTTGAAAATATTTAAGATTAAAAACAGTTTAAAATAAAACGCAACAAATGGAGTAAGAGAAGACTGTTGTAAACAGAAAACTGAATGAGGTTATACTCCTTCTGACTTATGTCGCTTATTAAGAAATCAAATTTAGTGGACTTTTAATGAATAGATTTAATTTACCGATAGAAAATACCTTTTTGCGTTGTAAATAAATAAGTTGTTATATGCTTTATTCCCGTTTTCGAATATTTTTAAATTGTATAAATAATAATGAACAGATAATGATTCTGATATTACATATTCAAAATTGTAACGTTACAAGTTCGTAACGTAACAGAGATGTTTTTTAATATTTCGAAACAACGACCAAATAGTTTATTAATTAATTCAGGTGGTGGCAGATTTAAATGCTAATAGAACTTGAGGCCAGCACCTAAATTTTTAGGGTCCTACTAAACGAAATTGTTAAATAAGGAATAGAATATATAATATAGAAGTACTGTATAAAACAATATTAACTTAGAAATCTCTTGTTAAAGTTAAAAAATAATTGTAATGTGGCCACTGACCAGCACATAACTTTCTTATCGCTACGTATATAAACATAAATTCACAAGAAAGTCTAAAGATTTGAGTCTAAAGATAAGTGGGCAACTTGCACTGTTGCCGTTTTGTGTAGAACTTTGCCTCCAAATATGAAACAAGTTACCTCTAAGTATGATAGCAAATACCTGTAAACAGTCATATTGGTTACAGTAAATGACATATTGGTCAGTCGTAAATTTTGCATTTACATGCCCGTGTTCTTACTACTACTATGTTTTTTTTAATGAATTTAATCATTTATTTTGAAGAAATAAAATTTTAGCAGGTTTTCTTAATTTCAATCCTTATTCAACATTTTAAAAAATTCTTTTCTTTCCTGGATTATATCTAAATTTCATAAATTTTGAGAGAAATCTGTGAACCTGACAATCTTCATTTCAATCTTCTGTCCAGTGAACTAGTTGCCAGTGATTAAAAATGCTTGTGACTCTATCTGTTATGATAGTCTATTAAATTTTTGATATAATTAATTATTATAAAGGGATGAGTTTCATATTTTAAAAAAGTTGTAAATGCTAATAATAAGTAAAATTTTCATTAAGTCCGATCCTACTCGAGATATGAGACACGTCCCCCTATTATATCTTCCCATCCATAGACTTTTAACTACCAAAATTTCATAGTATCAATGTCCCTAATACACAAACTTCCCTGCAAAATCTCATAATTTTGCAAAATATACGGGAGATATTAAGCCTCAAAGTGGATGAACAAAACCGTACCCTCCTTTACACACAAACATCCACATACAGGCCTACAGTAAAACAAAAAACCCGACGTTTTTGCATTTATCGATGTAACAAAAATGTAAAAATCTTGGAGGTCATTTTTTGACCGATTGACTTACCCTCCCTCTGTTATTTTCAATAAAAGTTTTTTTTTTATTTTTTATGACTTATAGAAATAATTGCCCTTAGAAACCTCTAAAAAATACTTCTAAATCTAACTTTCTTTCAAATTTAACTATAGACAAAGAAAACCTGGAAAGAAAACGTCAACTCTAGCAACATAAATTATATCTGATTGCAATCTGATTTATACTGTGGCGTTCTCAAGGTTTAATCTTGGGGAACTGAGTTTAATGCGAATTCAATAAAATTCCCATTTTATGTGACCGCTAATTGATAAGTAATAAATAAAGAACAATATAAAGCAAAAAATAAATAAATAAAAACAAAGAGTTTTAAGTAGGAAAATATTTTTGGAAAATTTACTAGTGTTTTTTTTTCGTTTCTACTTTTGGGGGTTCAAGGACCTCTTGGCTCAAAAAGACTATTATAATAGGCTTTTTGCGGAATTTTTTAAACCAAGAGTGATAAAGAGGTATAACTTCTTTTGGCTAAAACTGCTTATTAGTATTTAGAGACGAGTAAAGAATACAAATTATCAATTCCTTTTAAATTTATTGTTTAAAAAAATTTTTAAGTGGGACCGAAAATATCTCAAACATAAGATCCCAGAAAGTTAAGGTTAAGGTGACAGCCTCCCGCTCTAGGAAACCTGAAATCGAATCCGAGGATGATCTCTCCTGGATGTTTCGGAAGCTATTCCTCGCCATCGGACGCTTCATAGTAGACCTGGTCGAATCCATTTGTTAAAAGGGCTTGGTTAAAAGGCCCTTTTACGAGTTAGTTTCTGTTCTAGTGCTAGAGCACTAGAAGAGAAAAAGTAAACAAATATAGCCTAAAGGGCCTAAATATATATACTTGTGTATTTCGAAACAGAAATGTATAAGTTTATTACGGTTGTAAAATTTTATATTCAACTTAATTATTTTTTAATCTTAAAAATAATTAATAAAAATTTTTGATGTTTTATTTACTATGACTCGTTCCACCTTATGGGCACTAAGAGGACCTTTATTTTTATCAAGCATATGTGGGTTTAGTCAGTCCCACAACATATCGGGACGGATCTTCCAGAAAAACTTAGAATTTTTCGTTCCTGTATCCCCAGAGCAGTAAACTGACACAATAACAACCCAGTCATCGAATCATCAATGTTTTTTTAATTAATTAAATTCTTATTCTTATAATTATGATTATTTGAATTCTTATTATTTTTATCTATATTAAGTTTTCTACGTTAATTTCTGATTATATGTATTTATCACCGAAAAAACAATAATAACACTGTATTAATTATAAAATACGATATATTAATTTTGAGAAACTGTTAAAATGTAAACTACATATTATAATAATTTGCACAAAAGACACAATCCTACTTATAATATTTTAATTTTTCAAATAATATACTTATCATTTATTATTTAGCCTTTTGTGGTGCTGATTTATAACATATATTTGTTATGTTACGGTTATTTTATTTTTACAATTTTTTACGTTAAAATAAACTATATTTATTATATCAATAGTGACAATTTTGTTTTAATTTAATCAATACTAGAATCGATCCTCGAGAAAGTAGACTCATGGCCGCAGTTTGTGATCTAGGATATCCACCTTGCATAGAAGAAGCAAATAGAAAATATAATATATGGAAAGCGAGGAGAGATAATGGAACAGAGTAAGTTGATGGTAAAATTTCAGATAAATGGCTTTTTGGGAGCGGTTGCTTTTTATTAGAATAACATAGTTTTTAATATAATATACTGTAATTTTATAAACAAAATTTTTTTAAATGTGTTCTATTTAAAAGCATGTATCAAACATTCATTCTAAGCAAGACTTCTTTCTCACTATAAATGTAAACTTTCAAGTGCCGTGTTAATCGATTTACCTGCTCGAATCGATTACCTGCTCGAGTAATTTTACTTTTACGCGCCGAAACCGATGGGAGAAATGACGAAACTCTTGTGATGAGGTTCACTCTACTCATGTGGTCCCATCCGGATTTAAAAATCCCCGGGGACCTTTTTGCGGACACGTGAAAGAATTGAAGGTTATAGAAATCTAAATTTGATGTAAGGTTTAATCTGAATATTGGTGAAATATTTCAACACCCACTCGGAATTGTAGGATATAGGCTATGACGGTAAGCAAAAGTTTTACTTCCGTTCCAGAAAAATATTATAGGGTTGAGTTGTCCTAGTTATAAAGTAGCGTATATTTTGCGCAGGGTGGTAGAAAGTAATTATGCAAAATTTATTCCAAATCAGTCAAAGGGTTTGGAAATTTGTCGGGATGAAAACAGGGAAAGGAGTTAGCGTCCTAGTTTTAAAGAAGTGTATATTTTTTGGAAGATTGTGGAAAGTAATTACGCAAAATTTGTCCAGATCGCTCAAAAGGTTGAGAGTTGGGGTGTAGGGAGATGAGATTACAGGGGAGGAGCGAGGAGTCCGAGTGTTATGGTAGTCTCGGATACTCTACGTACCCGAAATTGAATAGATAAGGTAATAAGTTTAAAAAAGCCCACTAGACGGTAAAGGTAATTGACCTTGAACTGAGCAGACAAACGGCAATATGACAATGCCAGAGAAATGCTACAATAAAACATTTTATCGCGTTCATTTTTCTTTTTTATTGCTAACATAGTATATAACCTATGTTCATCTGGAAGAAATAAGCTTTCTAACAGCAAAAGAATTTTAAAAATCAGTTCAGATTCTGAGATTACCTGTAGCAAACAAACAAACACGCTCACTTTATATATTAAAAGAAAAGTTATAATAATAGAAGATATAGATTATAGTAGTCTATTAATTATGATTATGATCTGTGATAAACAATGTAATAATTTCTAAATAGAATATCTTCGTTAATAAAGTCTTTCGTACTTTGCATCGGAATAAAAGAAGGAGATGAAAAGGATTGGAATTATTTATATGACATATATTTGAATAGCAAAGAATTCGAGTTTTTTATATTAGATGCCCTTTTATGTACTCCTAATGAACATCTCAGAAAAAGGTAAGTTACTTCTGAAAAAAAATTATACCTACTTAAGAATACCGTAAAAACTCGATTTAACGAACTTCGGATTTAACGGACAAAAGTTTTGATCTGTATGTCGTACGAAAAAATTAACACCGTATCAATTTTAAAGTGATTTTTATATGATTAAATTAATAGGTTATCTTTTCAAATACAAGAGTCAGCTCTCTTAATTAAATACAATTAAAATTTATTTTCCAAAAAATGTTTGTTGGTTTGAAGCATTTTTCGAAACTTATCAACAGAATCCAAACACTTTCGACTTATTTGCACTGAAAAATCAATGAAAAAAATTGTACAGTATTATGTTTAAAAGTAAGGTATATCAGTCGGTCTTTATTACATAATACGAATGAAAAATGTTTGAATGCAATCGAAAAACGTTGACAGGCTTATTTAATGCTTGCGTTGATATCTAGTTTATAATGCGTTGAAATGTGAATTGCAATGATGATGTCTAATCGCAAATTGTTGGGAAGTGTTTCACAATTGCATGAAATCAAACCAGAAATGCTATATTTCGATTTAGATCGTATACTTGTTTATTAGATCTTAGAAGTACAGTGAGTACACAAGCAATAGACTAATATATACAGAAAACTTCTGTGAAATTAAACTTCTCAAATATATTTTAATTACATAAATGTATCTGCATAAGTGAAAGTTTACACATTAATTATTTGTGAGAAACCGCAGATTCTAGGGGTTGTCTCTAGGAACCACTTATTCGGCAACAGTCTGCAAAGACCGCTCACGTTGTCGTTTCGGATGGCTAAGAAGGAAAAAACGAGTGGGAAGGAATCGGTAAGTCCTCAGGTGTCTTTTCGAAAATATACAGACAGGTTGACAGGTTTAACAATAAACAAAGAATTTATTAAATTTCTAAAGCTAATATACAGGCGGGTGATACAAGTTCAAAGGTTACATGCGATTAAATAGCGATTACAAAATATACAGTAATAGTCACCAAGACTGGCGACTAGTCTCTATGCTATATCGCGTGCCTAATTTCTATGTCTTGCGGAGAGAGAGTTTCCAATTTGAGCTAGCAAATACCTCTCAATGGACTTGGAGAGCTGTATGTGACGATCGATCTTTCTATGGAAGTAGCTTAAGTCATGAATGTCTTCTACCGTTATTCCGGGAGACCAAGGTGGACACTAATTTAGAGATAACTTCCTGAGATGAATCGTTTTAAGCTTTCGGTTACTTGTGCTTTTATGTCATAGGCGTGGGAGATGAGTCCGTTGTTTACATTCCAAGTCGCAGGTGCTCGATGACTTGCAATTTTCGCCACGTCGCGTCGTTTCATAACGGACCGATAGTCTTTCGCAACAATCCGTCAACCTTCCCATCTACATGTTGACAACCGAGGTGACATCCGAGCCGATATTATTCACTACTTTTTCTATCGGCGGATGTTTACATTAAGCTCTCGAAAAACTAATTCAATAGTTACAAGTATCTAAAAATTCAGGCCCGTAAACCGTCGGGCTCATATATTTTTCAACTTTTTAACACAAGCATTCAGAAAACATACTTTATTTTATAACGGACCTGCGCTTTAATGAACAACCCTCGCTCGAACTAGTACGTTAAATCGAGGTTTTAGTATATTAATATTTTATCTAACATATTATTTTATCGAATATTTTATCTACTGGGTTGAATCATAAATAAATCCCATTTGAGGACAAGTTTAAGGTTAATGTGATTCAAATACTTATGAATTTCACTTCAATAATTAACATTCACTCTGAATGTAAATTTATAGTTATTCGGAAGTATTGCTAGGGTAGGCTATATAGCTAGTTAAACTATCGATAATGCGATAAAAACATGTTTTTGAAGCCATTTAAAATGAACCATTCCATAAGTGCATATGCTCCATATTATGTTGTGGAAGTATAAACTCTGCAAAAATTTGTAGTGTTTATGACAATGAAGTAATTTCAGATAAAGCAGTTTGAAACTTAACTGCTGGTCTGCTTTTCCTCATCAAATTCCGTTATGGTTGTTTGTCCTTACAAGATGAACAAAGATCAAATTGCTACTCAGACTTCGAAGACATTTTAAAAATCCTGATTGAGCAGAACTCTTGGCAAACGAAGAGGTTAGCAAAGAAGCGGAGCACATTCCAATCGTCATCTCCAAAAACTATGGAAGATGAACAGGCTCGGAGTTTGCGTTCCTCATAACCTTAGTGAACGGAATAAGGCTGACAGAAAATGTATAGCTGCTATCTTTCTTTCTTGTCATAAAGATAATTTTTTTTTTGGTAAAAATTATTACGGGAAATTAAAAGTGAATTACGTACGAAAATGTCATTCGAAAAACACCATGGGATTGACAAGGATCATCGACTTCAACCGGGTCGAAGCCAAGTGTACATGGAAGAAAAATTATATTATCTATGTAATATGGTGGGATCGTCGATGAATTATCCATTTCGAGTTATTGCACAACGAAACTATTGCTGTTCAGAACAGCTTCGGCTAAAATTTCAAAAAAAGTGTCCTGCACTTGTTTACAGAAAGGTCACCTTATGGCTTGACAGTACACAGCAAAGATTACTCAAAAAAAATTTCAGTTTGGCTGGCCTGCTTTTCCTCATCTACCATATTCACCAAACCACCAGATTTACATGTTTTCTGGGCAACACTTTCAAAATGATGACCAGGTTCATGAGTTTTTTTCTTTCTTCAAAGCTACCAGAATTTTATGCAAGGGGAATTGACAAGTTGCTTGAAAAATGACAGTGAATAGACTATATGTTAAAGTCCGGTGTTGTACATTATTGGCAGTTAAGTTTCATTTTATGAAACGGACTTATTTACGATTTAACCCAACATATTTTAAATGCATAGCTTATTGAAAAAATTATATTAAAAATGACTTTATCTGGAAATAATTTATCCAGTATAATTTTGAATTAAAATTATATATTTAAGCATTAAAAATGTATTATATTTAATGAAAAATAACTATTAAATATCTTTTAGAAACGAAATTTTAAATTATGATTTAAAACATGTTAAGCTTAACAGTTTGATTATAATATTAAGATTATCAAATGTGTTTCAATTAGAGTTCTCAACGTGACTAAAGACGCAGAACAATTAATTGGCATATTCTGGGCTGCTATAGATTTTAGAGACACTTGGACGGATCTGACTCGAATATATGATGAAATTCTCGTTGATTTAATGGAAACGTAAGCGAAAATTTTCATAAACTTAAAAATTAGGGTAAAACCGGGTGAGATACCTAGTCAGGAGAGACGACTAGAGATTGTTTATTCAAATAATAATCGATAGAACAAGTCACTAGTCACTTTAATGGTGACTACACTTAACGTTTTGAGTTTCATTATTTTTCGAATGCTACTTTTAGCTTATTTTTTTGCCAATTTTTTCGTAAAAAAATAAGCTTATGTTTATCATTGCTCTATAAACGTTTTTGCGACATTCACGTTAATACGAAATGTTCCGAAATTCGAATATGCTTAAATGATATTTCTGTTGTGATTAGTTGATCGTATTGTAGTCGAATCCAGAGGTCCTCCTAATAATTTAAGTCTAAAATATAGAAATAGGCATCTCTCCCATATGGTTTGGGTGAGATGCCTACTGGATTTAAGGGAGAGATGCATACTTTTTCTGAAATACTTTTGTGATAATTCTGTAATTTATTGAAATTTGTTAAGTCGTATATTTTTAAACACGAGAGGGCGTAAGTAAGAATAAGAGTAAAAAGAAGAAAAAAGAGGGAAGATACTTTTTGATTACGATAACAAACCTATTAAACTCTACTTCTTTTATAAAACTGGTGTTCTTCTTTGTATATTCTACAAAAAACTCCCCAATTTTATTATAAACTTAATTAAACTTATTAATTTTACATTCCCTCTGAATACAAAAAAGGAAAACTGGTGCCAATAGAGGAAAATGGGCGAAAAAGGACTTAGTTCTTCCACATTCCATATCGTACTCTTTGCAGAAGAGTAAAAGACATTAATTTAGCACAGCGTGCTCTTGGATTAAATTCAATGTTAGGTAATCAAAATGAAAAAAAAAAACTTGTTTATCATATAATTAAGTCACAAAAGCGAGACAAGTAAAGCCGATTGTATTCGATGTGCTATGTTCAAAATATAGAGGCACGAAACATGCACAATGTATATTACAGAGTATAATGAGTGTAGAAAATACAAAATATTGATTAAATTAAATGTTAAACGAAACAGGCATCTCACTCTTAAATATTAGGCAGGAGGTACGGGAGAGTTGCCCAAAACAGACAAGTGTCATTTCGTTGCTATCACTCTGTTACATCGAGCTTCTATTTAACTTCGTTCACTTTTCTTAAAAGATAACCCTTGGCTGTATATGCGTTATATCTTTATTTCTTCTGGAAACTACAGTTAAGCGAGTTATAAACGTTGAAAAAAGCTATATTGGTGTCTCACCCGGTTTTACCCTATACTATACAATTTAGGCTATTTATAAAGAAATTTTTGTGTTAAATATAAATAATGTTTCTACAAGTTAGATAAAATTCAAAACTCATTTTTGATGTTCTCTCTTACCAAAAAAAAAAATGTTCAAATATATTTTAAAAGTAAATAATTGTCTTCATTTACAAATTTTCCAATTTCAAGTCGTATTGTGTTAATTGTGCAATCAATAACGAACAAATGTGAATGTCATTTTGTTTTTGGCCATTTAGTTTCCTGGCTCAATAATTCAATTTAAAATCATCGTTTTGCAACAATCTACAATAAACTAGTAAATTTTAATTATATTACAAAAAACACGTTATCATTATTAATTATAATACGAAGTGTAAATAAAATTATCAACATTTTATAAAATAAGTAGTACGTTTTCATATATTATGTAATTTCTATCCGTTAATTGCACGGATCAAGTAGTTATACACGACCATATTACCCTAATTTGTTAATATTAGGAAGACCAGAAATTATTCGTATTCTCGTGAATCATGCGTGGTCATTTTCACGCATGAAAACAGCGTGATTTCCAGTGCTTATTTTATTCAAGATAAACAATTAATTTTCTCATTTAAAATCTGAGAAAAGCCTTGGCCATCAACATTTCTACAATTCTTCGACGATGTTCCGCTTGGTCGGCTGGGTAGGTTCACGAATAAAGTTCGATTGCGGTCGAAGTTTCGTATTCTGATTTGTGAGATCCAGACCTTTTTACATATTGCCATTGCATTCTGTATTCTGTAGATTCTTACTATATATTAGACCCGCTTTGAGCGGCTACTCCAATAGTATCGCTATCGCTACTATCACTGAATGACCACGTTTTTCACTTTTATCTTGATGAAAAGAACTGTCGGAAATAGTCTCAGGATCCCCAACTGACCCGTGGGGCGATGGAGGATGACTTGACGCTGAATCTACGCCATAGTCACTCAGTGGAGGTCGAAAAGTTTTATCTTTATCAGAATCATTGTCGATATCTTCGACAGTACTCTGACGGTTCAGATTTGTCATCTTCGATGTCTTGGAGTCTTGGACTGCGTTTAGTATATCCGACACACTATGACGAAAGGCCATGATGATATTCAGCAGCAAACACTTCCACGTCGTAAACGACGCGATATAGCAATGTACAGAAAACCGAAACACAAAACATCGACTGACAGGCCATATCCAATCAGTTTGTAATGAGTGGGGAATCGCTGTCTGAGAAGAGAGAGAAATCCCTAAATATAATAGAGAACCTAATCACTTGGAAAACGCCTGATTAGATTCCCTACTACGTTTAGGGTAGTTGTGGAAGAATAGAAGAAGTCGTGGGTCAATATGAGCCAATGGCAATTTTAAGAAAAGTTTCCTTTCATGCACATTTTGCTTATAGAAAGACAGGAAAAGTCAAAAATGTTCAGGCCCCTCTTGATTTTAATTACTGTATAAATATCATTCAATGATATTTGTACAATAACTGGAATCAGGATATTTGATCCATTAAAAGGAGTAATTTTGACCATTAGATCGAAATTATCCCTTCGATCTTTCTAGTGTTAATTAGTCATATCACTAAGCGTTATATTTTTAGAAAGGTTTTATATTTCCTAACCAAAATGTTTTCATTGCATTTTTCCTGAAGTTCACATTTGTTTGGAAACGAATGAAAAGATTGTCAAATTTTTTTTTTCCATTTTAGAATTTTATTAGCTATTCCATGAAAAATTCCTATTTTGTTCAAAAAATAATCATGTGAATTGTCATATATTTATTTTTTAATTAGTTTTTAACGTTGTAATGTTTGTTTATAATTTTTAGTGATCAACACAAAGCTAAATTACTCACAAAGATATTGTGTACCAACGACGAGATGTTCAAAAAGGTATAAAAATATTATATACATTTTTATAGACATATCTATATACACTGTTTTAAACTATAAAATATTTAATTTCCTAAAATTTACTGTAATCTAAATAATATAAGATTTGCATATAAAAATTCATATCGTTTTACTTCATAAACATTGTTCTGAAGAGCTGCTGTAAAGTATAACCATAATTTGTCAGCTTGGAATCAGTTTATTAAATTATAGTTAAAAGAAGAATACTTCGCGAATATGTATGTAAACGTATTTCTAAAAGCAATACTAAAAACATTCCTCTATGTGGTTCTACTTCTTAAAACACGAAATACACATGTTGGAGAAAGAGAGATAAAACGTGTAGTGTATTACGAAAGATGTCCAACAACTCTTCAGAAAAGAAGACACCTGAAATACGTAGGTGTTTTTTTCAACCTCCGATGGTCCATAAGACAAAGACAAGTGTAAATAACAAAATGAATTTATTATCAAAAGTTAGGTACAAACATGATTACTTTTCGTCATAATCACGGTGAAGGTTGAGGCATTTGTCATATCTCTGGACGAGCTTTGCAACACCTTCTTCATAGAATGTTGCCGCTAGTGAGTTGAGATGGGCCTTAACGTTGTTTTGAAGATCGTCATTAGTCTCGAACCTCTGCCCTCCCAGCCACGTTTTCACCTCAGGAAAGAGGTGGAAGTCGCTCGGCGCTAAATCGGGGCTATACGCTGGCGTATAGCCCCGATTTTGCATAGGATTTTAACTAGTTTAACTAGATTTTAAATAGATTCTAACTAATGCATAGGATTTTAAGTAAAATAGGAAATTAACTAAAATCTACCAGTGGCACCTCTGTAACACCTCAATAGGGTCAGTTACCCTTAAGGGTAACTGACCCTATTGAGGTGTTACAGACGTGGAGAAAACCCGAAAAACTCCACGTGGACAGCCCGTCCTGGCGAGGGGTGAACCCACGTCCGAACTCCCATTGTTCAGGGAACGGACCGCTTGGCCACTGGTGGATTTTAGTTAATTTCCTATTTTATGAACATAAAATGAATTGCATTAGATGAACATAAAATGAATTGCATTAGATGCAATTCATTTTATGTTCATGAAAAAGAAAATTAATAATTTTCTTTTCAAATAAATAGGCATATTTAATATTTTTAATTGAATTGCAATTTGAGAAAAACTTTTCCTCATTACTTTCCCGGCTGTTAATATAATGGAGGGAAAGAAAGTAAGGCGATCGGTCAAAAATGAGTCCCAAGATTTTCTCAATTTTGGAGTGGGGGCATTGAAACGTTGAGAAATGCAAAAACGTTGGGTAATTTTTTGTGTGTATGGATGTTAGTGTGTGGGGGGACGATTTCTTTCACTCACTTTGAAGCTTAATAACTTGTGTGTTTTTTTTGAAAATTTTTGAAATTTTGCTGGATGGTTTGTGTATTAGGGACATTGATGCTATTAAATTTTGATCATTAAAAGTACTCTCGGAAGGCATTATTCCCGAGCATTACGTCCACCATAATAAAAGTATCTAACTACTAATACTTGCCAATGTAAGCACACATTCCACGGGCCGAAAAAGCCAGAGAAGCTAATGCCCAACTAGCTACTACTACTACATCAATAAAAGTATGATCAATAATAAAAGATTTTATTAAAAATTAACTTTTATAACAGCCGGGAAAGTTACATAACTCGTTGCTGGATTTTTTCACATATTCATGATTAAATTGTTTAAGGTTGATTAATTTTCTTTATACTTTAATAATTATTTTAATTTTTTGCATTTCAAAAGGCATTTAAATATAAAAATATTTTAAATTTTCAGGTGGAATCAATTATAGAAATTCGTTTAAAAGAAATTAATAATGTAAAGCAAATAGAAACGTTTAACGAACTTTTGAGAGAAGCAAGAAAAATCCGAGAAAGTAAAAAGCTATTTGGAGAATGCGTGGAAAATTGGCTGAAAGAGAAAAAATGGCAATAATCCGTTGCCATCATTCAATATTTTTTTTTTTAAAAAAAGAAGTTCTTTTATATTTTCAATAGATTCTGAGGTCTTTATAAGATAAAGACCTGAGGTCTTTATCTTATAAGATAAAATTAAGGTTTGCAATAATTTGGCTTTTAGGTTAATGAAATGTTTAAAAATAATCGTAAATTCATAAGAAACTCGAGTTCGGAATAATTGTGAAATCGTTACGTTTCAAATATTTACTTTTATTTATCAATACTTGTTTGCAATTTATTATAAAATGGTGATTATAAGAGTAGAATTCCTCCCAAAAAAAATTATTCGTGTTAAAGGAATTTGATAGTTTTCCTTAAATATTCTCTGCTATACACATTAAACGCATTGACATTAGACTATTAAATATATTGCGTCTGCAGCTGTTATACTATTGTGCCCTTAGAGACCAAAAACTTGCGAGTCAAAAATAGCAAATAATTCTCATACTACAACTATTGCATAATTTCCTATAAATATTTCTAATTAAAATATACAGTTAAATATAAGAAGATTTACTAAAATTATTAAATAATTAATGAAAGTTTCATCTGCAAATGTAAGATACATTATTGTATCTTTTCATTCCAGTAATCAGTAGAGCTTCTCAGAAATAGCTTATACAGTATAATCAAGTGTAACTTTGCAACTCTTGATGCCACATTAATAGGTTTCATTGAAATTCAGCAAATAATAAAAAATGGTTAAACAGGAGGAAATAGCAAATATATGGTAGATTTCTGCGTAATAGAAACGGCTCATAAAACTTCCAAATAATACATAGTGGACGATATAATTCACTGCGAAAATCAACTGAAATTAGTAGTTAACGAGGATGAACTGTCAAAAGATAAGAAGGAGTCATGTAGATAAAATTAAATTAATTTTAAAATTTGTATAATCACACTAGCTTATTTATGTTGTTTTAAGGATTTGATTACATCGTAAGTAGACATAGACAATAAGATTTACAAAAACTGTTCAAAAGCCATTAGAAAAATACAGGGTGATTCAAAAGCCATAGAAAAGTTTAAAAAATTAATAATTTACAAATTATTTACAGTAAGATGATGCAGTTTTCACAGAAATGCTTAGAAAGAACTTCGTGTTTGATAGAGTTTTTCAGATAACTTCATTAGCCATGTGAAGAACTCTATCCAACATGAAGTTTACATACATATATTTAAATTATATTAAAATATATATATATATATAAGATTTAGAAAAAACCTAACATATATATATGTTAGGTTTTTTTTTTCTAAATCTTCCCTATCAGGGCCGATTTTAATTTGGCTTACCGTAGGCGGCCAAATTCCTAGAACGGCGGATACTGCACGATTTTGCTAATTATTCAAATATAATTCAATATAGTAGTCGGCGATGAAATAGACTGATGTTTGCATGAGTACTAATGATGTAGTATAGCTGTGCACTTTATGTAGGCCTATATAAATAACGCCAAAACATACATGTTAGGTGTTTTGCATCATAAAACTTAACGTGCAAGCAACAAGTGATGGAGGATTCATCCGCTCAACTAGAGAAAACTTCCTCAGTGGGAATTCCATAACCACTACGATTATTTCTTGTTTTAAATCACGTGAAAAGCATAAAAACTTGAAGTTTATAAATTTTTAAAGTTTGCAAACTTCAAGTAGTATTTATGTTATTGTCTTAGGACCAAGTTTAAGATTACACTTGCGTTGTGAATGGTGCATTAAATAACATGGGTACAAAATTTTAGATTTATACTTAATTTTCGAGTTGAACGGGCCTTTATTCCCGAACCGTTAATCTTAAAGCGATACTTACACCATTGTTTTAATTGTTTGTGGAACCAAAAGGAAATTTAAATAAAGAGAAGCGCACGAATGTTATTAATTTAAATATGAATATTTAAATTAATTTTTATATACACTATGTATATATTGCATTCATACACTAAATAGGTAAAATTTATTTAAATTAATTTCATTTTAATTTTCAAATTATATTTTATGTCGGCACTAAAATATAACTGAACAAAGGTGCCTGTTATGTACAGTGCATACATAGCAGGCGCCTTTGAATAGTAAGGCTTGATTTAAATAAAATAAAATTAAATTTTTAATGGATTTTCATTTATTTTCAAATATTTTTATAACAATTTCGACAGGGGTAAAAAAGTCTGTCAACTACAAGAAATTGTCATAAAGCATACCAGTAGGCTCTGATGGGTTGAGTTAGGTTATGAATTTACTCGCGATTCGTGTTGATAGGGATGGACAAATATCTTTAGCACGCAGGCCGCTAACAGTCCAAAATCGGCCCTGCCTACAATATGAAATATATAGGAAACCGGGGCAGAACGGAACACTTACTTGAAAAACATTTAAAACATTAAGTAAAAACGTGTTTTTAATTAACGGCAAAATTCACAAATGAGAATGTCATCATCGTGATGTTATTCATTAAAGAGAATAAAATCTGTTTCTGTCTTGACTGGTCTGTATGACACAGAGATTATGTTTGAATGATGTTAGTCTACTTTAGAAATTGAAAAATTACAATATAAGTACATGAATCTACAGTGCGTATAATATGTATCATTCATTAACTGCTTTGACTTATTCTGATCAGTAAAATTATAATCTGTTTGAACATTGTTTTCAAATGAACTTCATATACGGAATAAATTAACTTTTAAAGTAGTTATTCTACTCCCTTTTTTGGATAGCAATGAATAATGCTGTATGCAGATATTTCCTAAAAAACATTTTTTTTTTGGAATATACTTGTATGTATCTGAATCTGAAGAGTATCTGGAGTCTTGGTTTGACAAAAATTTGAACAGGTTTAAAGCTGCATATGATTATATACGTAATAATAGTTTTTATTGTATTATTATGATACCATAATAAACTGTTCGGTTGTTTTCAGAAAACTTCCAGTTGTCTAAAACATTCAACACGTTTGAATGGCATACAAGTTGAAAGTAGTAAATTTTTATGAATTCACAATTGACGTTAGACCGGGGGGGAAATATGTAAAAATTTTGTGACAGGGTATGGAGATGTTATTAGAGAGGTGACATACTACAGATTCTCAACATTATTCCTATTTGAAATCATTTTTTTTTTTTTTAATCAAAATCGTTATGCAAAAGAATTTTCATCAATAATCATGCAGCAAATTCTTGCTTATTTAAATAGTTGCACTTTAGTAGAAGCGTTGTACTAAATATGCTTTGTTCGGTGCACTCTAGTAGTTAGAACTTTTAATATGACAACAATTTCATCTTTACGTTTAGATGCCGATAAAAGGTATACGGATATATAACAGTAAATTTAGTCTAGGAGTTTCTTAGCACGATGTCATCAGACTTCTGTAGTAAATCGGTAAATTTGTCTGTTTTTAAAATTGCTTTGCCTTGACAGTAAATATAGAAAAAGTAATGCAATGTAGATCTGTTTTACAGAAATTTTTGATTTTTTAATATCGGGTGGTATATAGAAATGACATTAGCATGGAGGATGTCTAAAGATTGATGACAAAATATGACAGAGAGGTAGTAAAAAAATATTTAATATTTTGGACATACAGTATTTGAATAATTTCTGACCTATCCCTTTACAGCAATGTTTCCCAGCCTTTTTTGTGCTATGCCCCACCTAAGCCTTTCTAAAATTCTTATGCCTCCCTAACATATAGGCTACAGCGGCTATACAGCTAACTTAAACTCTGGACGAGTCCATTTTCGAATTGCCCCCTTAACAATCGAATTGCTCTCCTGTGGGGCGTGGGCCCCACGTTGAGAAACACTGCTTTACAGAATCTCCTATAAGAACGTCCCATATCAATTTGAGAGAGCAAAATGCGAAACAAGGGGGGAAAGAATGCATATAAATTTATTAAACTTTTGTTTCAAAAATCTTTAATTTAAAAGAACAAATTTGAAACAAGAAATCATTGTATAAAAGTTGTATTTTAAGCTCCATAGCATAATCGAAATAAAGTTAATTCACTTTGAATACGATAATGAGTTTAATTATATTTTTTTATTTTCAATATTTTGTATGTATTTTAGAGATCGAAAATAAAACTGTTGAATAATAAATGAAAACCAATTTTATTATTAACTTATGTATGGTTTTCGAACATCTTCCATGAGTTACTTGTATTATTATATTGTCTGTGTCTAGTTTAAACAATTAAATAAAAGTAAATAAGCTGGTAATATTGGTTACTGTTTAAAAATAATTTAGCTTTTACATTAGTGAACTTTAATTTGTTAAGATACAAACATTTTAGATTTTTGACCAATTTAGAACTAAAAAGCTTAAAATGGCAAAACAAAATGCGTATTCATGCTCGGAATCTAGTACTCTTTTCCGAATACAATCAAACCCCGTTATGACGTTATCGATTTATGCGAGGTGCGTGAATACAAGTTTGATTTGAGGTCCTATGGATCATGAAAGACATTTCAATGTTAACGAATTTGGTTAATACAAAATAATAATTACTATGTACTGTAATTTCACTAACTGTGTTTCACTATCAACTGAATAAAGATGGAAAAAGGCAAAGTGTTTAATTAATAACACAATCTTGTGTTCAACACTCAAATTACTATGTAATGCAAAACGTGTCGGATTCCATGATTTCACTAATAATTATAGTATAGGGAGAAGGTGGTATTATGCAACTCTGCAGGTATTATGGAACCCCTCCATTTCAAACTGACAATAAAGGCGAACTATAGCGGATTGTGGCTGAACTGCACTAGGCAGACATCGATAGCACTTTCCCTCCATAGCACGGAACCCGTTTCACTTCAGTTAAACGGTTATCCGTAGTGAATTAGCATATTTTTTTTCGAAATTCGAAAGTTTTGAATGCTAAGTGAATTTAATTATTTCTAAAATATAAATCATGTAGTTGTAGGCTCACTGATGCATGTATTCGTTCCAGAGACTTGGGGGTACATATTAATCTGTGTGAAGTTCACGTTTTTTTTTTAAGTTTGGTCTTGACAGACATAAGATAATTCAAGATGACGATGCGTCAAATACGGACCCCTTTGGTGCTTTTAATATGGAACCCGTCTAACTTTTGTAAAAGTATGTGGTAGATGAATGAAAAACTAGAAGGAAAATGAAAAAAGTAAAAATAGATACCTAACACTATAGGAGCATTATATTTGTGATTTTTGTAAATGATTAGCTTCTTCTTTGTTCATTTCTTTATTATTATTAAATCATTTTTTCGATAAAATACATTGGAGTAAATAATTTTGTAATTATTTAACATTTTTTATACTTTCCTACTGTTTTTGGATACATTAAAGCATTTTTTGAAATCATACACTGAGGTTCCATATTACCACCCGGTTTTCCCTAAACCTACTTTCTGACATTTTGTACAGAAGCCTCCAAAAACCATACTTATAGTTACACTAACGAAAAATCCAATTAGGAACATTTAGTTTAATAGTTACCAGTACTTTTCGCACAAAAAATGTGGGTGTAGTTATGATACCTTGTTTACAATTCACTATAATGAAAATGGCGTTCTATAATACCACTTTCTCCTCTACATTTAATATAGAGCACGCTGCTTTATATTAAATGTAGAGCTGCACGCTGCAGTTTCCCCGAAGTCATACAAGCCAAAGCAGCAAGACACAAGCCATATCATAACTAGTAGCGCATTTTTCGACTTTAACGTTAGCCTAAAATTGCCTTTAACTTTCCTGTATTTTAAATGTATTGTATAATCGATTATTGTGTTAAGAAAGAAGCGCATATATTACTATATCACGTTTTTTTAATAAATGTATTTCTGTATAACTGACTTATTGTATAAGTTTATTTTATGCCTTTAAAAGCATTATTCTGAGAAGGGATCCGTAACTTTCACCAGACTGGAAAAGGGATCCATAAAATAAAAAGATGTTAAAAACCCCTATTTTAAGATATAGCCGCTCTAATACTTTATTAATGTTTATTGATAAAGGATAAGAAGTTTTATAGTAGTAACAGATTAGCACAATGGTATATTACAAAATAAATGCAAGAAATATTCATAATAATAATACTGTAATTAAATGAAAACA